GGGGCAATCTACTTCCGTAGTGATACTGCCTTGGAAACCCAAGGAGGGGTCGCTATGAGTCGGGTCCGACTTGACAGCACATAACAACAACAACAACGTATAAATATTTACTGCTATTATTGTTTCTATTATATATATATATTTACATGACTTTTTTTCAACTAACCATATTTTTTTTCATAATTTAAAACATTTATTGGGCATCTATTACTTATCATCCACTAAGAATATATTCTACTTTGTTGTGTTGCCAGAGTCATTTTGAAGCAACCTAAAATAAATACATAAATTTCACATTTTTAATTTAACAAGTAATCTACTGAAAGATATTCCCCTTATTGTATATTACCTTCCCCTTCATCCAAGTTAATATGCCTCTGTCTCTAGTTAATATTCCTTCCTTCCCTTCCCATCCCTGGTAATCATCAAAACATATTTCTTTTTGTGTATAGAGCTTTTCTTGATTTTTTACAGTAGTGGTCTCATACATTATTTGACCTTTTGTGATTAACTAATTTCGTTTAGCATAATGTCATCTAGGTTCATCCATGTTATGAGATGTTTCACAGATTCATCATTGTTCCTTAACGTTGCATAGTATTCCCTTGTGTGTATGTACCATAGTTTGTTGATCCATTCATTCGGTGATGGGCATTAAAGTTGTTTCATCTTCTTGCTATTGCTAACAGTGCTGCAATGAACAGGGATGTGCATATACTGTTTGTATCACGGCTCTTATTTCTTTAGGATATATACCTAGCAATGGGATTTCTGGATCATATGGTGTGGAAAATGGTACGGGTTTCCCTAAAAAGATGGAAACAGAAATACCTCAAAACTTTTTCTTCACATCTCTGTTTCAGCTGCCTATAGTACATCTTTTAGTACCTTGAAAATGACACCCTTCACTTTTGGCTTAATACTTCTACATAACATCCATTCTGATTGGAACAATCTCCAAATCTTGGCCAGATATTTCTCCCATACTCTTCAAACTTTAAGCCTGGATAAACCTCTACAAAACTAAGTATGAATTACCCCCAAAATAAACCCTTACAAAGGTTTAGTGGCAAACAGTTTGTTTGGAAGATGATCCCAGATCCTATATAATCTTGGTAAAGGAAATAGGAAAAGTGAGATAAGAAAGAAAAAATAAAATAAAATAACAGCTATGTTATAGGGTGTGTTAATATAGGCAGTTGGGTCTCAGTCCTTGTGGAAACCCTTTGAGAAAATGTAGGAAAAACATGCCTAAGTTTTATTTAACTGGAGGTCAAGAGGTTGG